CAGACAGACAGACAGAGAGACCGACAGACAGACAGACAGACAGAGAGACAGTCAGACTGCTGTTGTGGAATAAGTAGGTAGACACAATAATTCTATGTACATCAGTCATTTCTCACCAAGTGTTCCCTGTTCCTGTTCCAAATGTGCTGTAAGCTCCATCATGATGTTTGTAGTTCAGCTGTCTCTGGTAACCTGTAGAATAAAAGAAATATAAGCTCATTAGGCCATAATGATTCACACAATGTCCGATTTGACCCGTCCCAGATTATTCAGCGAAAGCTAACGGAGGCTCACCGTTCGACAAGAAGTTGGTAGACTTCTCCTTGATGGCCTGCGTCAGCTGATGTGTGTTTTTCAGGTACTGGAGGATGTAGATGTTGGGGGCCAGGAGCGCCATGTTCTGCTCGCCACATCCATACGGCATCCTCAGCAGCCCATCCAGGTTTTTCAGGGCTCGACCCAGGATATCGCCTGCACAAATACAGTGACTCAATAAACTTGAGTCTCTGCACTGCTTTGTCATTGCACAGCGGATACAGAGGGTCATGCACGAAAGGAGTTTTTGTATTTTCCCTCAATTGTACTGAATTCTTAAGTATAGAAATTGTGTTCTTTATACAAGTATAATCCTGAAATCACAAGTGCTCCAGTAATTCAACACAAATGTGTACATTTTGACTAAATAACTGCTTTTTGTACTGCATGAAAGTGCCATGGGTGTATTATACAAACAAAATGCAATCTCTAAAAACAAGACAAACATATCCAAATGTCCCTTTTTACTATCATTGTCCTTATTTCTGAGGCATCGAGAAAAAGGTGAGCTGTTAACTCCGGTAAAAATCAGTTTACCCAGAACCGATAGTGAGGCACGGTCTGATCCAACGATCACATCCTGAGGGAGCTGTAACTCTATTTCCTCTGTCAAAGCCCCTCCTGTGTACAGACAGAGTACAACCACCTTAGAGACAAACTCAAGCCAAGGTCAGGATCAAAACAAGGACGTCATTCAGATGTATGAACAGTTAGTGGATGAAGCAATAAGATCAACACAATGAAACATTGGTCTGTCTTAAAGCACATTCTGTTCAAATATTAAATTCCTTTTGAGAAAATATATCAACATGCATTTAAGTAATGACGTTTGAAAGTTTTGAAGATGCTCTCACTAAACTTGGCAGAAAGGCCACAATAACCAGTAGATGCTGCCTTTTTGCAAGTGGTGGTCTCCTTACCTTTTGGACAGAGCAGCAGGTTGTGGGTCTTTGTCATTTCAGTTCCCTCAGCCTGAGAGGGAAAGAGTTATGGAATAATGAGTGTTGCAGAGTTTCCATCTTGTATTAAAAATAAAGGCTTTGAGTGACTCACCTTTACTATGAGCGATCGAGTGACCACGTCGACACGGCCTTTGTCAGGAACGGCCACAATCTCATTGTCACAGGAAGCGTGAGATGCCACAGCCTCGGCAGTCACCGACACATTCACAACCCCTTTGAAAAAAAGTTCATCAACACCTGTTAGAAACTTGATTGAGAATTTTAATAAATCCAATAAAAGTATTTAGCCACTGTGGTGGATCTTCCTGATTTCACAGAGATATACGTAAAAGATGTGGAATCAGAGACAGTGATTCAACCAGCTTTGGCTTAGATAAATGTTTGAAGCCTCACCTAAAGATATAGGGGACATGTTCCAGCTGAGGGTCTTGCGCTCATTGCCACACAAACAGGATGTGTACTTATCACCAGAGAGGGGGGTGAGGGTGTAATCTAAGGAGTTGGCTGGCGTCACAGAGACCTGTTCAAGAGACACAACAATATATTTTTAAACTGCTTATGTGAAGCAAATGTGTACAGTTGCTCAAACTGCTGCATTTTCTGAGACAGACAAACCCGATTCTACGTCTCAGTTGCATTGATACTTATTCAATCTTCAACAGATATCACATTATTGGTTAGTTTGAAAACTGGCCTACCCAATAAAAAAGGATTATTCAAACATTTCAATTGACCTGCAAGACTGATAAGTTAAGTTGACCAATGTGCGACATTTTGTTGGTCTAATGAATTACACGTTTCAGGTCCATGCTAAAAAAACATAGTCCATGTTGAAGCCAAGCAAATCCATTATGTGTAACAACCGTTTAAATGAGAAGCATTAGATGCTGGTTTAATTCATAACTCATTCATAAGGTGTGGTGTACATCCATTAGTGTACAGATGAATTCAATCTATTTTATAGGTCAAAATCAACATTGCACTATGTGTGTAGGATGCACACAGGGTTTCCCACAGAAGGGTTCAGGGAAGTAATTGTAATCACAATTTATCATAACAGTTATTAGGGGGAAAAAAAACTGGATCAAATTAAGATTTCACCATGAATTTGACCTCATTGAGTCATTTCATCCTGTAAAACATTCCCATTAGACTCAAGTTTGTGTAAATATTTGCATGCGAAGATAGAAAACATAAAACCTACTAAACATCAGAAAGTTGATGCTGGTAGTTTTCAGGCTATTTAAAAACCTCCATTACCATGATGCAACTGGAAAGGTAGTTGAAGATTGTAGCCTTCAGTTCAAATTGCTCCCCCCGGATGATGGAGTAGGGCAGCGTGAGCTCGAGGAAGAATGGCTGGAAGACAGTGATTTCTTTACGAGGAGCCAAGCCAAAACCCTGAGGGGACAAACAGAAAGCCTCCGTCTCCCAGGTGGTGATGGTATCAGGGACAGTGAGGGGCACATCCGTCATTCCAGATGCTCTGGATAAACAAATACACAGAGACACAGATACTGTGAGCTGGAAAAACTTCCCTTCATATGGTTCAAATGAAACAAAGAAGATAGAAGATAAAAATAGTGTGGGTAGATGATTAATGTTTAGGGTTAAATGCACAAGTAACTATAGTATTTTGTTACTAAGACCTGAGTCAATTTATGAAAATTGACAAATTTGACTATAAAAATCTTCATTGCAGATAAACCAGGTAGGATGAGCACTGCACCATACACTGTTTACAAAAAGCTCTG